ATATATATATATATATATAATTCACAAATGGAATTCTTAAAAAGTCTATACATAAATACTAAAATAGCAAAATATTTTATTCATGGAACTATAACTATTTAATCCACTTGGCACTAGATTTTGGCCAAACTCTAAAAACAATGAACTTATTTTTGCTTCTACTCTATCCTTACTAAAACTTGTATTTTCTTTCATCAACTCTACTAGTTGAAATTCAGAGATTTGATACAACCTTCCAAGTCCCACTTTGGGAGATTCCTGTGACAATGTGTTCATGTCCTATTAGAACTCATACATATAACCTTCAAAATAATTTGTTTTAGTTTTAAAAAGCAGTATGCCCTTAGGAACCAAACCTTAATCCAAAGAGGTGAACAGTGTCTCCTGGCAATGGCAGTGTTAGAGTTATGTAGGCACAGAAATGGAGCAATTTGGGATCCCAGAGACAAGGGTAGAGGGAAAAGTAATGTATTTCTATTTCCAGTTTCTATGTTCATGTTAGGTGCCATGCAGTCCTCCTGACTCATAGCGACCGTATATACAGCAAATCAAAACCCTGCCTGGTCCTGCAGCATCCTCACAATTGTTCTTGTTTCAGCCCATCAATGCAGCCAACTGTGTCCATCTGTCTTGTACAGGGTCTTCCTCTGTGGCTCTTCCTTTCTACTTAACCAAGCATGATGTTCTTTTCCAGGGAGTGCTCTTTCCTAATAAATTTCCCAAAATATGTAAGAGGACATCTGACCATCCTGGCATCTATGGAATATACTGGTTGTACTTCTTTCTTTCAAGACAAATTTATTTGTTCTTTTGGCACTTTGTGGTACTCTTCGCCAGCACCATAATTCAAATACATCAATTCTTGTTTGGTCTTCCTTCTTCAATATCCCATTTTCACATCCATATGAGGCCATTGAAACTACGATGGCTGTGTCAGGCCCACCTTAGTCTTCAAAGTAACATTCTTATTTCTCAATGCTTTAAAAGGGTCTCGTGCGGCCGATTTAGTGCTGTTGTCATGTGCTCTGATGTGGGGACAAAAAGATGAAACTCGAGACAATGGCAATCGTTCCCTAGCTATCCTAATATCACCTATTGGTCCAGTTGTGAGGATTAGGTTTTCTCTTACCAATTTTACTATATAAGCACTCATCTACATTGTGTGAGCTTTCTTGATTCCCAAATAATGGCAGAAAATCCAAAATTTGTTACTAAACCGAAAACAGTGAGAGGGGACAGAAGACCTTATAGCCTAGCCTCATTTTGCCATTTCACTGTCATGCAGGGACTACTGCCTTGGAGTGGGGCTCAGGCTCAGTCCTGCTATATGACCTGGGGGGTGCATCTGTGCTTTAATTATTTTATCGGTTTAGAGGGACCTCTCACAGAACTATGAACTTTGTAATAGGTGTTTTTGTAAGGTACTTTGCACACTGCCTGGCTTACAGAAAGTGCTTGGTAACGCTAGCTTGATCATGTTATTATGACTATTTTTCAGATTAGGGTTTTAGGTGTAATAATGAGTTTAATTGCCAAAATTCACTTCATAGAGATTGTTTTCATTTTTTTACAGGAAATGTCAAATTTGGTAAGTTATGTACTGAAAAAGTTGAGAGAGGATCAAGTCCAGATGGCTGACTATGCCCTGAAGTCTGCTGGTGAGTATAGAAAAGGTGAAAAAGAACAGCCGGAGAGAAGTGAATGCTTCAAAATGATCTCTGTTCACTTTATTTGGAAGATAGATTTCTCCATCTGGTAACTTGAAATGGAGAACAACATAGTAAATTTAGGTAGCAAAAAAGAGAATTAACATGTTGTACTTGTTTGCTTTCTGAGTTGAGATCATACCGGGAGGAACTAGTGTGCAACTCTCTTAGTATAAACTTAAAGGATGGCCACTCTTGGACAGCACGGTGAAGTTGGCAAATGCAGAACTTATTGTAAGCATAATAAACCTCACAACATTTTTATT